AAAAAAAAAAAAAGCGGGCGTTGATTAGTGCCACTGTAGCAGTATTCCGTACTCTCTCCATTGCTGCATGAATCCCTCTCCCCGCCATTAATGCTCCCTTCCTTAACTCTAACCTCTACATCCACATATACACAATTCCGTGGGGTGGCGGTGGTGGGGTGGGGTGGGGTGGGTGGCGTGAGGGAGAAAGATCCATAATCATGTCCTTTCAAAATTGAAGAAGGGCTATTAAATGCTTGTCTTTGCTTTCATTTTCACTCATTTCTTGAATAGCTTGCAATCCCCTCTCTCTATATTTACATACATACATACATACATACATATGTATCTCTAGCCATTTGCTTGCTCTGTTTCATCTGCATTTACTCCTCAGCAGGCCCACACACAGTGAGGAACAGTACTACTCACTGTTGGGTATCTTGGAATTGATTTTCCAAAGACCTATTTGATCGTGAGGAAATTTTCTTACATTTCTGTCTTGAGAATTTACCCACTCATCAAAAGCCTATCTTCAGCTCTCTCTCTCGCACACACAATAAGACAAGAAAAATGCTTTGCTTTATTAAATGCACAGCCGGCTAAGGAGTCGCCGGTCTGATCTCTAATTTTCTTACAGTGATACGTCTTTTCACATTTATCATTAAAGCTCCAAATACTCCATATTCGCTTCACTTCATCTTTTCTTTGTAGAAAAGCTCATATATATACACAGAGAGAGAGAGAGAAACAGAGGATAGTGTGTGTTTTAATGGGGAGAGCACCGTGTTGTGATAAGAAGGGGTTGAAGAAAGGGCCATGGACTCCCGAGGAAGACGAGAAATTGGTTGAGTACATCAACAAGAATGGCCATGGCAGCTGGCGTTCTCTCCCCAAGCTCGCAGGTTTTTACTTCTCTTTCTGGGATTTTGTTCTGCATATGAATTTATGCTGTAATATCATTATTGTCCAGGAAAAATTACCAATAAACATGAATAATAGTTCATGAACTAGAAACTTTACAGTGTAGAGTTGCATCTCTGCACATTGATTTAGCCCATGTTTGGCAAACATCCAAGTCATTTTTTATCCACAACTTATGGACTCACGAGTAGTGCCTATTTATCCGCTACTCATTTTTATCCTATTTATATAATTTAATTGTTTATAAACACTTCCAAATACGCAATCAGTAAAATCTGATGGACTGCCGCGTTGCATCTTGATCGAACACGAACTCCTTCCCTCTAATTGTAGCATAGAAAGTAGAAATTGTGCTGCAATGAAGATTATAATAGGTCTAGGAAGTTTATGTGGGAAGCCTGTTTATACATTGTTTATGCATACCATTTCTATAACATCTTATGCCAATCTATTGCCCATCATTATTCCCATAATTTGTTTCTTCCATCAGTGTTTCGGAACATGTAGCAAATGTCCCTCATCTTAAAACAAATCCAATAAGTTCTTTATAGAATAACTTGAATGGTGGTTCTTGTTTCGTCCCTTTTTAGGTCTTCTACGGTGTGGGAAGAGTTGCAGGCTACGATGGACAAACTATCTTAGGCCAGACATTAAACGAGGTCCATTTAGTCCTGAAGAAGAGAAGCTTGTCATACAACTCCATGGCATTCTTGGAAACAGGTGAGATTAAAATGAATTTTAGCGTGATGTTACTTTTTGTAAATATGCTTATTTGATTGCATTCAGATGGGCTGCCATTGCTGCTCAACTACACGGAAGGACAGACAATGAAATCAAGAACTTGTGGAACACCCATCTGAAGAAGCGTCTCGTTCAGATGGGCATTGATCCCCAGACTCACGAGCCTTCTTCAACCTCTAATGGTTTTCTCAAACAACTCCCTGCATCTTCTTCTACTCGTCACATGGCACAATGGGAGAGTGCTAGGCTTGAAGCTGAAGCTCGCCTTTCAAAGGAATCACTACTCTATATCCCCATGTCTGTGGGGAAATCTGATCCTGATTTTTTCCTGCGCCTGTGGAATTCCAAGGTGGGTGATGCATTTCGAAAGTTTGACAAGGGGGAAGAGAAAACTACTTCTCAGAGTGCAGTCTCGTCTTCATCAACGAAGTGTGAATCAATTTCAGGTTCTAAAACAGAAATGGCACTTACTGCAGCAGGTTCTTCGGCTGCATGGAGCTATCAAGATGATGATACAGACTGCAAATCGTACACCGAATATGTCGTCCCACCATCAGATTCATCTTGCTCTAATGAATTGGAAGATTCATCTGAATCTGCATTGCAACTACTTTTAGACTTCCCTAACAACAATGACATGAGCTTCTTGGGACATACCAATAACTCTAGCTCTATATCTTTTAACTTTTACTAGAAGTTATTACAAATTCCTTTCTGAAGCATACAAAAATCTGCCCCATCTGAAGAATGACTTTTAAAATTTTGGCTGCTGGTTTTTGTGCATCTCCAGATATGGAGAAATGCAGGGGTGAGTCGCTCTACCAATGTATTTGGTCATCAATTATGGAGCAAGTTTCTTCTTATTGAAATTTTACTATAGTTTATTACACGGATTTTTTTTTTTCCACAAGTCCAAAGCACTCTAACTGCACACGAGCAATTGAAAATACATCAATTGCCTTTATAAAGAAAATACAACAACAACAAAAAAAAAATTTTATTTATAAGATTTGTCCTAGATGATTCAGTACCACAACTGGAGAAAATTATCATCCAAAGCATCCAAAACCCTTCTTAGGAGCATGGCCAGTTGCACGGTACTTTGCAGCCATCTCGTCTGTTTTGAGAATTTCTTCCCCTCGTTTGGCTTCGACCATTGCTCTCTTCTCTTCTGCCTCCTTGTGAATCAAAGCTACCTTGTTTCTTATTTTTTCTGCATAATCTGCTTTCTTCTTCTCCAGTTGTTCCTGCCAATATATCCGGCTTGGTCATATAGAACGCAAAACTTCCATTTTCCACAAGCACATAAAGCCACTTAAGATTCCACTAGAATAGTGCATTAATGTGAAACAATTTCAAACTCTTTATTTGCAAATATTTCCCATGTATAATATTTTCAAAGATATATGCATTCTGAACTTTGTGAGGATGTTACCTCAATTTTCCTCAGTTGAGCTTCAAGAGATGCTTTCTTGCTGTTTTCCCATGAAGAAACCTCGGAGAGCTTCTTTTGAGCCCTGTTCCATCATAAAAATAAAATCACAATCATCTATAGGAGTCAAAATGTGACGGTTCCAATAGATTTCACTAGGAGGCACCATGTACAATTCTTAATCCCAAGACTTGGAACTTGCAACGTTGAAGCTGGATTTCAAGCCTACCCGTCGGGTGAATTCTCGAATGGACATTTGTGCCTTTCAACTACCAGATGATGGAGTAATCAAAGAAAACAGAGTCATTTACAATCTTCCTAAAATACATTATGCTGACTATAATTTATTTTTTTCTCAATCATTAGCTTCCTTTGAACAACTGTAATTATGTCACATTTCAGGTACAACAATACTAGGTTCAGTGACGTTAGATGATTAGCAAGGGAAAACCTACAGTTCACTGTATAAAGTTTCTTAGCTTACCAGTACCCGGCTTTCAAAATGCACATTTGGATGGAGATTTCTTGATCAACTGTCTTATTGAAAGATATTAAGACTAAACTCTTATTTCTACACAAAGTTATCAAAGATTCACGTCCAACCAATAAGCTGGATTTTTACTAATTCCGGCCTCCGGGGTTGTGGAAAGTGTGATATCTCCTCCGTGGCATGCACATGGCGGAGGAATCCCACATTTGAACTGAGACCGATCAAATCAAACAACCTATTTTGGTACTTTGGCCCTGTTCAATGGCCCATCTTGGCCCCTTCCCTTCCTCTATACATGGGTGAGTCCATTTACCCTCAATGTGTGTTCATTTAAACCCTAGCCAAATCTCCTCATTCATCTCTCTTGCATTCATTCTTATCGTTCCGCTTCATTGTTGAAGTGCAAAAGATCGTCGGACCTTTTTTGGGAAGATTTACCCTTGCACCCTAACGATGTGTTCCAATGTGCAAGTGATGTATACATAGATGGATAGGTGACTGAGGTCTGTGGGCCACTTTATTTTGAGGTCAACAGAAAGCAATACTATAGAAAGAGGCAGATAAGCCTTACTTGTTCTCCACTTTGCTCTTTTCACTATCCTCCCATGCCTTGATAAACGACAACCTCTTCTCGTCTTCAACCTTTGCAAGAGCAATATCTTGAAACATGGACAAATACCAAATTATTCACCTCGCAAAAATTGATTTTGCAAAACATATATAATTGTATTACAATGAAATTGCATGTTCTCATTAAAAAAATTGACATAAAAAGGTTCCATAAGACACACTTACAAAAACACAATTAACCTAAAAAGAATCAAAATATGAAGAACATCCAAATTCAGTTGTTAATTTTTCAGACCACAAAATCTTTGTTAACGGAAATGGTAGGAGTTATGAACCTACCTCTGTCATGGGATCCTTTCGAGCTAATCATTGTTGCAGAAGGATCTGGAGCTGCTGTAGAAAGTGTGGAAATACAAGTCAGATTTCATCAAGCTTTCTTGGAGTAAGAAAGAAAAAGTAACTTATTTCTTAAAAATAAAAAAAAAAGAAAAAAAAAAAGTAAAAGTAATAAGCAATCTAAAAGTAGTCAAAAGTAATTTTTTAAAGATTACCATACTCGTGAAATCTCTAGAATATACATTGTATACATAAATACAGTACTATAATACATCAATAAACACACGAGTACTATATGTTTACTTTGATCGACTGTGGTAGCCTTGGATTTGTCAATATTCTCGTGAGGTGGTGGCGGCGGCGGAATAGCAGACCTATCTTCCACGACGTCGTTTGGTTTCTCCATCACTGAAGCAAGTGGTGGCTCCGTCATGGTTTCCACCGCTGCCGGTTTCTGATTAACAATTTCTTGTGGTGCCGCTGTTGCCATTTCTATATCTCTAATGGAGTTAAATATGATTAAAGCTATGAAACTAAAAGATATTCTCAACTCCGTCGCAGATAATCCCAGTTTCTAAATGGCAATGGCATGCCATTACTTTATTTAGATTTTGGAAGTGGCAGTGGCAGAGTAAATACACACAAACGGTGTATCAAACGTGTCCGTGTATTGTCTGTGTTAGGAAAGGGTAATGCTTGCGTGTTACACGGTGTACAGTAGGGGGACTGCATGCACCAATGAACATGACTTGGAAAAAGCGTGTACGGGAAACCAGGAACCGATCAGATCCAACAAAGCTATTGATACAAAGTTGGGTTATAAAGTGTGTTAGCAAAATTCATAGTTTCATACCGTTAATTTTAAATAATTTAAAAATCTATTTTAAAAATGGTTGATGTAGATGTTATTTGGTCAACCAACTTTGTAACCCATATACATGTAACATAACTCTTTGAGATCGCACTACAAGTTGGGTTACTACATTAAAAAAAAAAATTATAAATGAAATTTTTTTTTTGTCAAAAAATGAAGTGGGCTGGTGACTGAGCCGAGCCCCCTACATCCGTCCCTGCGGGAAGTATGTACGAGCATGGGCGGACCTAGGGGGGTCATGGGGGCAAGTGCCCCCCAACTTTTGCGATTTTTTTTTAATAAAATCGTGTTTGGTATCGATTGAAATCTAAATTTTAATTTAATTTAAAGTTAAAAATTAATTTTAAAAACGTATTTCATAGAATCCATAACTGTTTAATTTTTATAAAAAATTATTAAAAATTTGATTTTAATCTTCACCAAATAGGGGCGAAATCACAAAAAATTTGAATTTCGATAACATGCTAATTTTAAAAATTCTCCAACGATCGTACGCTAATCGAATTTACAAATTGCTTATGTCATCTTAAAACTTATTTCGAGAACTACATTATGGGTATATCAAATAATTCAAACATATATCGAAAATAGTTAAAAATACGTTAAACATAAGTTTTAAAAAAAGACGTCTAACTCGCATTTTTTAAAAAAATTCAATTATTTAATTAACATTTATTATTTTTACGATACAAATTTCTCAATATAATTTTCNACCATTTTTGCGATACAATTTTCTCAATGTAAATTTCATCATTTTATTAGGAAATTTCAGATGGAATATGACATCAAAAAGTTTCGAAATTTTACATCCGAAAAGTCATATCCCATGTAAATTTTCTGATGTAAAATTATATGGGGTATGATTTTTTTGGACGTAAATTTTCGATTGTAAAATTTCTTCCAACTTTTTTGCAAGTTCGATTGTGCCCCCTAACTTTTAAGGTCTGCGTCCTCCCCGTGTACTTGAATAAAATCGAAAATGGGTCTGTACTTCATTTGACGAGAAGATTGAAGACAAATGGATAATCCATCGCCCCAGGGGTCGGGTCCACTTCAAATTGCGTGTGCATTCTTCATCTTTTAGGACGTTTTGCATTTTTAGTCCTCCGACTATCAAGAAGCCCCATATTCATCCTCTTACTACTCAGAGGCGTTTATTTCATCCTCCAAATATGTAGAAGCATCAAGTTAGTCATCTAACTATCTTGAAGAGTCCTCCAACTATACTGAGACGTCAAGTTAGTGATATTATTACAATTTTCAAAAATGTAAATTTCACTTGGAGTTCCTAACTTTGGAACCTTTTAACGTTTGGGTCCACAAAAACGAGCAACTTCGAACTAAAATAGTTCACAATATATCATCGTTAATTCTAGCAACAAGTGTTTAGCCGGACATGATTGAAAGTAAAAAATGCAAAGTTTTTATTGAATACATAACCTGGATGAAGAGATGAAAAAGAAAAGTACAATCCGTCAATCTTGAACATCTTCAATGATCTTGAATTGCACCATCTTCTTCTTCAATTTGTCTGGAATATCGAGTTCTTGCTTTGTGGTTTGCTCTAAGATAATGTGTTGCGATGTATGAGGGGTAAAAAATACAATATGAAAGTTTTTCTATATTATTTTAAAAGTCCTAAATAAGTATGTAAAACATACTTTTCACATCTGAATATGAACTAATAAAGATTTATATCAGATGATAGAGAAGAACTTTTTAGGTACAATATCTTGTATATTGTGGAATTCACTACTAAAGAATATCTTGTAATTGTTTACATTCAAAGCTCTAAAATCTTAGGTATTTTGTCTACAAAAGAAAATTATTTAGTGGTCGTTTGATGAAACTTTACTAAAATTTTATCAATTTTTCAATTGATCAAACTTTACTTTTAGCTATACATTTCATATGACTCACAACTTTTTTTAACTTTTCAACCAAATTTCATCAAATTTTACCAAAATTTACGAAATTTTTATTAAAAACTTTGTCAAACAACCTGTTATTCATATCTTATAAAATCATGCACAAATACAACATGGCTAGAATGAAATAACACCACGAATGGAAAACTCCTTATTCTTTTGTTGCAGAAGGAACAAGGAAGCTCTAGATCATTGATCAGTGAAATCTCTTTTACAGTGCTGCAGCATCTTGGTTACAACTTCATTTAACATCAAGTAAATATCTAATTCACCCAATTTTTCTCTGGCACCCTTAAAGCTTTCCAGACAGCCTCAGAGACATCAACTATGCTGTTAAGACAAGGAGGCTGATAATCATGAACTGAATCACGCCCCACTGTGGAGTCACACTCATCAACCACCATTGCATTCACAACCGGGGTGTTGTCTGAGTGGTACTTATTGTCACACTTTGACGGCCCACCACCATCGCCACCCTCCTCGAGACTGTTGATGTTAGAACTGCTTTTGTTTTGCTCGAAATCTTTGGTGAGCACTTTAATACTTGCCTTCCTCACAACACTCAGAATCATTTTGCTGGTTGCATTCCCCTTTAGCTAGCCCTTAATCTTGCCACTCGGCTTGCAGGATTGAACATCAACTCCTAAATTCTTCTGGGATTGTCAATGGTTTGTGCATTGAGCTTCGCAAGTTGGTTGGTTCTTAGCATGCACATATATATACACTGCATAGCATGGCAATAGCCTAGACAACTGTCCTTAGTTTACATGGAAGAAACGGCAGTTTTTGTCATGTTGATACTAGGATTAATTCCTAAGCTGTCGGCAGAGAAGATTGACAAAAACAAGGGAATCCTTGTGAATTTCACAAAATTCCAGGCTGATCTTTATATTAATCTCAAGAATCAAGATGGGGTCGACCATATTGAATCTACTGTTCGTGAATCATGTTCATTGATTCAGTAGAAGGATATCCATGTATCCTTTGGAATATCTTGTGAGCAGGCGGTGTGGTTTTATATTTTTGGCTCGAATTAGGACCAGATCTAGTTCAGGACTGTCCCATTTTATCCAATTAATGTTGGATTTTGGCAAGTAATTATTTCACTGTGAATTGACTTGGGCGAAAAATTGAATGCTACAAAATGTTAATGGTCGAGGCAAGAGTTCGATTCTTTCTCCTTAAGACGATAATGGCTCACACTGATACTGACGGTATTTCGGCACTCGTCTCCCAAAATACACCGACCTCGACTTGTAATAGCATGGCGTGAGATAAGACATCTGTCAAGTTGTGTAATGTTGGTACATAGATTAATTTATTAGTTGTTTGCTGAGATGATCGTAGATGATCGTCATAACAGTAATGATGATTGAACAAGCCAAAAAAAAAAGAAAAATAAAAATAGACTACTTGGCAGCACCTGTTTGGGTGTTTTTTTTTTTCCAAATTGTTCAATCATGTATCGACACGTATCTCCCATATTTTTGAGCCTGCTTCTGTAGCATGATTGTCGTCATAAACAAGGGAATCATTGTGAACCTTCACAAAATCCTAGGCTGACTTTCAAATTAATCTCAAGAGAATCAAAATGGGGCCCATATTTAATCTACTGTTAGTGCATCATGTTCGCGTCGGCAGTAGAAATATTAATGGGCTAAAACCAGGTTGGTTCCTCGTGAGAATCCTTTAGGACTGCTCAGTTTTGTTCAATCCTGACAATGAGAAAATGAATTCAACTTACACGAGAAGGAAGTGTTTATCCTTCATCTAATATTTTAAGCTTTCAAACAAGATATTTCAACATCAATGACCCTTCGTATTTGAGTATTTAGCTAGCTAGAAATAAAAACAATGCATTGAACACACGCGACACACACACACACACACACACATATATCTTGTTCAACGTAACCTCAAAAATGATGTATGTTTGTTCATAAAGTCACAAAAGTCATTTACTTGGAGAATTTGTTGTTTAGATCTTCACTAAGTCACATAAAGTGTTTACTCATGTAAACAGCCATTATGTACCTTGTTCGTTGTCATCAAATCCACCGTAAACTACTAGGAATAGTATACCACGACAAAACCCTCGATCCCATACCTTTTTTCAATGAGTCATTCTTGACATATGATTGGGCCTAGCTGTCAAATATGGTATTACTAATATTGAGGATTATGAGATTTATGGTTCAAACCATAGTAACCTGGTTTCATCCAATTATGCAGAAAAGATTTCAATTTCATCCAAACTAGTACATCCTGAATAAATTAAACGATATAAAAATTTGAGATGGATATAGCAAGAAATGTAAACAAGGATACACCATTATAAAATTGACAAAATAAAAAGGATAATTATATTATCACCACAAAATTTACACTACATTATAAATACACACCAATTAAAACATATTTTCAATAAATACACCGTAGCTATTTTACAAATACACCCTGGCCAGAGGGTGTTCGGTGGGGATTAAAATTAGATTTTTAGTGGATTGTGATATAAGTTTTTGAAATGTGTGGTTGAAAAGATGTGGGACCCATGAAATATGTTGTTGATATTGATTGTTTGACTTTGACTTAAATTAAAATCAAATTTTAATCCGACCCAAACAGGCCTTTAAAAGATAAAGAAGGATAAGTACAGTGCACATTTATATACCCCTTCCTATTTCGATAGTCCCTCTCCGTTCTTCTCACTTCCTAAAATTGGCTTCAACGGTCTCCTAAATTCTTACCATTAAATTCTTGAAGCAATCCCTCTTATTGAACCTCATGTTCATCCTTTTTCCTTTTCTGAGCCCAAAAATCTACTTCCACTTTCCCACAAATGTTTCCTACCCAAAACCCCTCTGCGAATGACGTCTTCAATGGAGTGCACACGCAAAATTCCACTTCTAAATGCCCAAATGGCAGACACAAACCAAGTTTTCTTGAAAAAGACCCTCTAAATCCCAAACCCACATGTTTTTAAATTAATTATTTTCAAGTTTCAGGTCAACCATACTAAGTTTTAAACCCCAAATCTATATCGCTAACATTTCTGAATCCATGATTTTTCAAAGAGTAACGCTATTTTATCACCATTGGTGTTATAATACCCGTCTAGGTGTTATTGATGTAGGACAATTGACGTTAGAATTTGAAGAAGAATTGAACCGAAAATTGGCTAAAACAACTGTTCCGAAGAAATGGACATAACTTTTTGCACCGGTGTCAGATTTTCTATTATAATATGTTTTTGAAACGTATCTCAGCGCTCCATACTGTCCCAAACCGGGTTACCCCGGTTGACGTCGTTTCCAGCCTCAAATTCGCAGTTTAAGGCTTGTTACCAGGCAGTCAAAGTTTTAGCATTATTTTTTGTCTTTCCGTTTTTAGATGCTTTGATTTAGTGGATGTCTATTTTAGTTTTTTTTTTGCTTAATTAGGGTTTTCAGAGACTATTTAAAGGCTCTTGTTTTCTGAATAAACATTATTGAATTTTGGAGGCTATTATTTTTCTTGTGAATTACAATTTTCTCTCGTTTAGGTTTACGTTTGTAAACCTAGAACTTCCGTTCTGCGTAAGTTATTAAGAGTTAATAAATGAAATGTACAGTTAAAAAAATCATATAATTTCACATTTAATTGAACATATCATATAATGCCAGAGAGACTTGTGCTATACAATATTATTATTTTCCAAATGTTTCTTGATATACGAAAAACTAGGATTTTTATGAACCTCAAATAATCCATCTTCACCAGAATTTAACGTTTATAATCCTTCCTAATATTCCAAAAAATAAAAAATTACCATCAGCTCAATCTCAAAATGGCAGAAAAAAAAAATAAAAAAAATTCTTGCCTTGCCTTTAGGGAATTCAATCAGCTCAATCTCAAAATGAAATTTACTCATCCTTTGGAAAGCCATCGCCAACTGTGACAAGATAATTTTCCTGACTATTATGTAGATCAAATTTCATCTTAACGGAAATCGGAGAGGATAATAAAGTGGCGGGTTATGTTATTTTTGTAAATTTTGTTTTATTGTTAATAGAGTTTTTAATGAATATTGTGAAAATTACCCAATTCCCTACTTTTGGAGATCCAAATTCTAAAATCAGATTTCATGTTTTAATTTTCAAAAATCAGATATTTTATATATAGATATAGATTTTTTATATTTAATTAAATATTAATAATAATATTATAAAAATTATTTTATATACACCCACACCATCCCCAAAATTAATTATCAAACCGTAACTCACCCCCGTCTCTCTCAAACCCAAACCGACGACGTCGTCGCTGCCTCGCTCGTTGCAGCAACCCAATCGTCGGACCGCCACTGTTTCGACGATGATTTGCAGTGTCATCTCCTCTCCATCGCGGCGCAGTGGTTATGGCGACATCGTCGCGTGCAGTTGCAGGCAAATTGAGCTTAAAAACTGGTGCGAATTGTTGGTGGCATTGTGGGTATGTTGGTGGCGTTAGGTTGTCTTCTAAAGGCGATGAGTAGGTTGGGTTCATCGTTGGTGGCGGTGCGAATTTGTGGTGGTGCGTGGGTATTAAAAGGTGCCTTGGTGAAACGGTTTCGACGAATTTGTGGTGCAAATCGTTGGTGGCGGTGCAAATCTCTTTTTCATTTTCAGCCTAGATCACCAGCCAAGGCCCCTAAATGATCGCTCAGCAATAAAAGAGGTATGTGTGCAGAGATAGTCGGTAGGTTTGTGATAAAATCAAGGAAAAGGAGCTCTGATGGAGCTGAAAATAACAGAAATTTAGGAAGGAAGAAAACAGAGAATGAACTAAAAAACAGAGGATAGAATGACAGAAAAAACAGGAGAGATAAACCTGCTGAATTATAGCAGGGGAGAAGAAGAAATTATTCCATTCAACTTGCTTAGGGAAATGCAATGCAATCTATCCTATTTATAGAAGAAAATACTAACAAATTATGTAACAAACTAACAATCTAACCAACATAAGAAGAGACTAGAAGAAACTGAAGCTGAAACGTGCAACTTGCAGCTGACTGGTGTGAAGGTTTACTGATGAACTGGAGGCTGAACTGGAGAGAAGCTATTGTTTAACTGGAGGGGTTGGTGAACTGGAGGGGTTGGTGCTGCTGGGAACGTCTGGTGAAGCTACTGGTTTGGTGCTGTGCTTAATTCCTGAGCTGGTCTTGCTGGTTTTGGTGAGTGGAGTTTAATATTCCAACACTCCCCCCTCAAGATGGAACATCTTGAACCGTAGAGTAGGAGAGTAGAGATGCAATCAAGGTAAATCAAGGAAGTTACGAATCAGTTTCATTTTTCTTCAACTCCATTTCATTTTGATAATGGAGTTTTACTTTTTCCGGTAAAAACTTCCTTCTCATTTGAAGGAATATCTTCAAAAATCTTCATCCAAAATCTTCATCATCACAGACACTTTGTCTGTATCTTTTTTCGGTTTATCTTCCTTCTCCTTTTGAGAAGGAATTTCTTCAAAAAAAATTTCAAAGAAGCCTGCTATTCCAGTAGGCTCTTTCTTCAATTTTGTTTCCATTTCAGTTTGATTCCCTATCTGGGAATAAATCATTCACTTTGTGAAAATCTGAGAATCCTTCTATCTTCAATTTCTGGCTTTAGTTTAAGTTTCTGCTGTCCAGCAGATTCAATTTCATTTTGATCATGATTTCATCATCTCTTCGCAGCTTATGATAACTGCTACATTCGGAACCTCCACAAAGGTTCAATTGGGTGGACTGCCTTGTCCATGATCGAGAATCTGACTGAGAATTTTCAGTCATTTTCGTTCCGACATTTCGTCGAACATTTAGTGAGCCAAGCACTTTTCTGTTTTCTGGTTTTTTTGTGTTTCTGATTTTTGTTTTTTTTTTATTATTGAATTTGAGAAAAGAAAAAAGAAGAAGAAGAATTTCAGAAGGCAGGATCTGAAACCCGCTCTGATACCATGATAAAATCAAGGAAAAGGAGCTCTGATGGAGCTGAAAATAACAGAAATTCAGGAAGGAAGAAAACAGAGAATGAACTAAAAAACAGAGGATAGAATGACAGAAAAAACGGGAGAGATAAACCTGCTGAATTACAGCAGGGAAGAAGAAGAAATTATTCCATTCAACTTGCTTAGGGAAATACAATGCAATCTATCCTATTTATAGAAGAAAATACTAACAAATTATGTAACAAACTAACAATCTAACCAACATAAGAAGAGACTAGAAGAAACTGAAGCTGAAACGTGCAACTTGCAGCTGACTGGTGTGAAGGTTTACTGATGAACTGGAGGCTGAACTGGAGAGAAGCTATTGTTTAACTGGAGGGGCTGGTGAACTGGAGAGATTGGTTTGCTGCTGGGAACGACTGGTGAAGCTACTAGTTTTGGTGTTGTGCTTAATTCCTGAGCTGGTCTTGCTGGTTTTGGTGAGTGGAGTTTAATATTCCAACAGTTTGCCTAGAAACAGCCACCCTTGAATCTTAAGGAATGAGCATCAAAGAGTAATAACAGATGAAATGCTTCCATACTAACCGAATTCTTCATGTTGAAACTACCAATATAGTTCTCAATAAACAAAACCTGTTATGAATTATGTTATGTGAAAAGTGATAGGGTCAGTCATATATTCCAGTGGATAGTTCAACGGGCTGGGACACTAATCTACTCTTATCAACTATTTTATCATTAATTATTTGTTTGTACCGTGGCTTATAAACTTCTAAACATCAGTGATAGAGATATCTTAACCCATTGTTTGATGGCCACTATTTGGAAAAACAATATTTTGAATAGTGAATTTTTGGAGAGTGTATGGTTAAAATGTAAGAAGAAGTTTTGAGTTTACGTTCAGAATATTTTATTACGTGAATGTGTGATTGAAAATAAGTAAGTAGAAAAAAGAGTTTTCAAATAATGACCAACAAACGGGGACTAAATGTTACGCATCTAATTATGCACTCCAACAAAATTGGTCAAAGAACACCAATAAATTGCCATATATCTAATGTCTTCTAGGATTTTCAAAGGAAAATAGAAATAACAAATAATAAATTGGTCAACCCTTCTTGAAAATGGTGATGGAATCTTAAAAAAATGAAAAGATGACTGAGGATTGAGAAATGATATTCAAGTTATTTGAAGGTTCCTTTTCATATGGTTTTCTTATCTTAATAATAATAATTGCAAAACAAACATGGTTAAAAATAATATATAAATATATAAAATTTACATCTTTCTGATAACTTAAGCTTTCAGATGATATAATTTAACATGTTTAAGTCTCACCATTACTATGAGCTGCATGTGAAATAGTGTATTGAAAATAAAATATAAATAAATAAATTCATCTCGTTTTTAATAGCTCGAGCTTTTGCGTGAATATTCTGACAATCGCAGCCATAGTTTACAGTCAATGTTCTACTTGAACCCTCCTATGGACCTTATGACTGACCGTAAAATTATTTATGAATACTAATCTAAAGGATTTCTGTTACCTTGAGCACAATCTTGGCATTTTCTGTGGCCAAACAATATTTAAACCGATTCATTGATCAGAAGTTGCACCAAAACCAATTATCTCATCAATATTAGAGACAAAAAATGAAGAAATTTAGCTCAGGAGCTCTTCTTTTTGTTGTACTCTTTCTCGTTACTCATTTCTCAGAGGCTAGACTTCAAGTGTGCAAGCCAAGTGGCAAAATAATTGGAAAAAAGCCTCCTCCTGGACAATGCAACCAGGAAAACCAATCTGACTGCTGTAAACAGGGGAAGTCTTACACCACCTACAAGTGTTCACCCCCAGTGTCAGGAAGCACTAATGCAGTTCTCACAATTAACAGCTTCGAGAAGGGTGGAGATGGCGGTGCGCCATCAGAATGTGACAACAAGTACCATTCCGATAACACACCAGTTGTTGCTCTATCAACTGGATGGTACAATGGAGGATCAAGGTGCCTTAACAATATCACAATAACTGCTAATGGCCGAAGTGTAACTGCTATGGTGGTTGATGAGTGTGATTCTACCATGGGATGTGATGACGACCATGATTATCAACCTCCATGTGATAATAACATTGTCGATGCCTCTAAAGCTGTATGGGAAGCCTTAGGAGTATCTGGTAATGTGGGCGAGTTGGATATCACTTGGTCTGATGCCTAGTACTATATCGTAAAATTTAGTTATCTATTATCTATTGTCAAGATCAGTGTTTTATGATTTGGTTTGTAATGTGGATTTCTTAGTGCATGAATGATGAAAATATATCTTTGTATAATGAATTCTGCCTTATGTTGTTGATAAAGCACTAAAGTAAAATACGATTAAAAATTTAGTTAGGCAAAATTCTAGGATAAATTTCCAAAAACTTCCTATTAGGCTATTACTACCTGTAAGCAGATAAGGTTACCATGATCATGTTGGAAATACCACGGGGGTTGGAGAAGAAACTCACCAAAGGGTGCAGCAACAATATAAATAAACCGGAATCAAAATAAAAGGCCCAAACGCGTAATTGCTGTCCTCAAACTATATTCCCCCCCACTCCAATTAATTGAGATGCTTAAGGATTTTCGATAAATGGTTTGAAGGATTGATCAAGCTTTGTTGCAAAAAATATCAAAGCACAAATATTTTCCACCCGAACTTGAAGAACACAAAGAGGTTTTGAATATGAAGAAGAAAATAGATTTCTATTGCTATGGATAAATAAGGTTGTAATAATGATTTTTTCATTATTCTCAAATGAGTAGGGATCACTTATTTATTGCCCTTAAGAATCCACGGAATGGTGCCAAAATAGGATGAAAAGTCACCAAGTTTAAAATGACAACGGCTATAAACGGACAAAAAATTGTCAAAATTATGACCTATGCGGTCGCATAGGCTAAACCAATGCGACCGCATAGGTTTCTCAAAATCAGGACATTAAGTCCCTGTATAGGACTATGCGACCGCATAGTCCTTTGAACTATGCAGTCGCATAGTTCAAAACTTTGGCCTCGATCCCCAATTTCCATTCCAAGCTTGATTTTATTATTTTGAACAACCCACTTCACCAATCCTCCACTTCAAAATTGAATAAAATCTCATATTCAAATGTACAATACTTATGCATAAGGATTATATATCTTTCGATTTGAATCTAACCATAGTGTAATTCTAACAAAGTAAAGTCAAAATTAATGGTAGCATGGAAGCTTTGAACCAATGATCCCATATGACGATACCGGTAAGAACACACACACAAGTATTATATGTTCTCAAGTTTCTCAATTTCACTTAGCGCTAATATGGCCTTGCGCTCATCCTTTTCAACAAACTTTTAAGAAGGAAACTTTTACTTTCTATTTAGGCAGCACCACCTCGAAGTTTGTTTAGGTAAAGTTCTTCCAGTATCTTTGTTACTTTTAGAGATAATTATACTTAGTACTGAGCGTTATTAAGAGCTTAAAGGTCAACCCTCACTTCAGTAACAACCAGCATTATATTAGCTAGTATGAGGTTATTGCGGATTTGAATAATGCTGAAACTATCCACATATCGAATGACTTGTTGTTACCCTTTGAACCCTGCCATCATTGGTGGATCTTTTAGTTCAAAAGTTTCAACTCCATCTTACTCGGAGTAGAATTTACTAAATCTCTATTTAGAGGTCTAGTTAGAGGATCCGCCAAGTTCTCAATCGACTTTACATAATTTATGGAAATTATTCCACTTTGATTAATTTCCTTATATAATTGTGTCTTAGACTCATATGTCTAGACTTTCCATTGTATACTTCATTGTATGTTTTTGCTAATGTGACTTGACTATCACACACGATAGATATAGAAGATGTTATCTTCAGTCCCAAAGGTATCTTGTATAAAAGATCCTTAAGCCACTCAGTCTCCTTCCCAGTGTTCGATAGTGCAACAAATTTAGATTCCATAGTTGAATGTGTTATACACATTTGTTTATTTGATTTTCAAGAAACAACCCCTCCTCCAAGAGTAAACACCCAACAACGAATTCAGATTCCATAGTTGAATTTGTTATACACATTTGTTTCTTTGATTTTCAAGATACAACCCCTCCTCCAAGAGTAAACACCCAACCCGAAGTGGATTTACTTTTACTCGTGCTAGATATCCAACTAGCGTCTATAAATCCTTCTAATACAGTCGGAAATTTAGAGTATTGAAGACCTAAGTTCTTGGTTTTTCTTTAAGTATCCAAGAACTCTTCCAATAGCCTTCAAATGCTCACTGCTCGGATTACTTGTAAACCTACTAAGTTTACTAATGGAAAATGGTACATCCGATCTTGTGCATTGAACTGCATACATAAGACTCCCTATTGCACTTGCATACTCCAATTGAGCAATGACACTTCCATCATTCTTTACAAGTTTTGAACTTGGATCAATCGGGGTACTATACTCTTTCACGTTCAAGTGTTTGAACTTGTTAATCACATTCTCGATATAATGTGATTGACTTAGATAGTAACCCCCATTAGTTTTAGAGATTTTGATACCTAAGATGGTATCCACTTGTCCAAGATCTTTCATCTTGAATGTGGAATATAGAAATCTCTTCGTCTCTTTTATTCCTTCCATGTGATTACTCATAATCAACATGTCATCGACATATAAGCAAATAAAATAACATAATCATCACATTTCTTAGAATTTAAACATTTATCTATACTATTATGTTTAAAACCAAATGATATAATAGCTAAATCAAACTTCTCATGCCATTTCTTAGGAGCCTGCTTCAAACCGTATAACAATTTCACTAATTTCACACCTTATGTTCATTCCAGGTAGAACAAACCCTTTGGGTTGGTCCATATAAACCTCCTCATCGAGATCCCCGTTTTTGAATGCCCTCTGACATCCATTTGATGAACATGCAAGTCATATATAGAAACTAGTGCAAATAATATCCTAATCGATGTTGTTCTAGCTACCGGTGCATAGGTACAAAGTAATCGATTCTTTCCTTTTGTTGATATCCTTTAACTACTAATCTAGCCTTAAAGGTATTAAGAGAACCATAGTTTTATACTTTCTCCTAAACACCCATTTACATCCAATATGTTTGGATCTAGGTGGTAAATCGACAAACTCCCAAGTATTATTTGACATTATCGAATCAATTTTGTCTTTGATTGCATCTTTCTAAAAGATGCTACCACGAGAAGCCATAACTTCTCTATAAGTTTTAGGGTCTGTTTCCACTAGTAGAACAAAATGTATTGTTCTTACAACATTCACCTCATTTCCCTCTACCAAGTAAAAGTAAATAAGTTGAGAATCAATTTCATCGGATCCTAAGGACTTCACAATTCGAGTTCTTTTGTTTCTTCGTGGTTCACTAGACTCATCAACATCATTAGAAGATATTTCATCTCGTATTCCACTTGAGCTAGGGATATCCTTATTGATTTCCCTCAATTCATTATTCATAGATAACGAATTCTCAAAGAACTCCACATCATTTGATTCAATAATTACATTGGTCTCCAAATTTAACAACATGTAAGATATCCTACAAAGACACATTTAATGCTTCTTGGACCCAACTTGGTCCTATTAGGGTTCGTGTTCTTGCAATATGCGAGACACCCCCACCCTTTGAAGTATCCAATGTTCGATTTTCTTCCTTTCCACAATTCGTAAGGAGAAACCTTAGTTTGTTTCTATGGAATCCTATTCAATATTCTACATGCACTTAATAAAGCTTCACCCCACAAGTTAAATGGCAACTTAGCATATGTAAGCGTGGCATTAATTATTTCAACTAGGGTTATATTTTTCCTTTCAGCCAAACCATTTTGTTCGGGTGTCCTAGGTGCAGAACGTTGATGAATAATGCCATATTGTTCACAATACATATTAAAATCACTTGANTAACCTGGCGTTTATTATTTCAACTAAAGTTCTATTTTTTTCTTTCAGCCAAACTATTTTGTTCGGGTGGTCTAGGTGCAGAACATTGATGAATAATGCCACATTGTTCACAATACATATTAAAATCACTCGAGAAATATTCTCTACCTCTATCACTTCTTAAGTTTTTAATTTTCTTTCCTAAGTGATTTTCAACTTCACTTTTATAAATCTTAAACACATTAAATGCTTCATATTTATACTTCATAATATAGACATAAGTGTATCTAGTATAGTCATCAATGAAGGTAATAAAATATCTATTACCACCTCTAGTTAACATGCCATTCAATTCACATATATCCGAATGAATTAACTCCAAGATACTAGAGGTTCATTTTACACTTTGATATGGTCTTTTAGTCATTTTAGCTTCTACACATGTTTTGCAATTAAAATCATTATTTTCATGACTTAAATTAAATCAAATTTTATCGTTCATTTCATGGTGCTTTTATCAATATGACCTAATCTAGCATGCCGTAACGAAAATAAGTCAACAATATAAGCAAAATCAACTTTATTATCAAAAGATTTGTCAATAGTACACAATTTGACCATTCCTTCGCTAAAATAGCATTTACCAACAAATTTCTCATTGTTGAACCACCTCGTTGACAGTGCCACGACTGGCTTATTATGTGAGTGGTACTTATTGTCACACTCTGACGGGCCACCACCGTCGCCACCGTCCTCAAAATTGTTGATGGTCAGAACTGCTTTCGTTTTGCTCGAAATCTTTGGTGAGCACTTGTATATTTCATAATACTTGCCTTCTTCACAACACTGAGACTGAGAGTCATTCTGCTGATTGCATTCCCCTTTAGGTTGTTTCATACCCTTAATCTTGCTACTTAGTTTGCAGGATTGAGCATCAACCTGTAAATCCAAGGTCTTAATATACAGAAACAAACTGAGAAATGGGAAATTCTTCATTTTTTCCTTCGTCCGTATTGTCACTGGTTTGTGCTGCAAGTGAGTTGATTCCCAATATATATTGCATGTCGTGAGACAAGAAATCTGTCAAGTTGTGTGATGTTGGTACATAAATTAATTTCTTAGCTGTCTGCAGAGATGATCGCCACAACAGTAATGATGATTGAACAATCTAAAAAATAGGAAAAAAAAAAAGGGACTGACTTGATAGCACCTGTTTGAGTTTTTTTTTTAAAAATTGTCCATCATGTATCGACACGTCTCTCTCCTATGTTTGAGCCTGTTTGTGTAACATGATTGTTGTCATAAACAAGGGAAACCTTTTGAACCTTCACAGAATCCTAGGTTGATTTTCAAATTAATCTCAGGAGAATCAAAATGGGGCCCATATTAAATCTACTGTTAGTGCATCATGTTCATGTCGGCAGCAAAAATATTAATGGGCTTAAACCAGGTTGGTTCCTCGAGAGAATCCTTTAGGATTGCTCAGTTCTGTTCAATCCTGACGATGAGAAAATGAATTCATGGTACATGTGAAGGAAGTGTTTATCCTTTGTCTAATATTTTAAGCTTTGAAACAAGATATTTCAACATCAATGGCCCTTCGTATTTGAGTATTTAGCTAGCTAGAAATAAAAACAATGCATTGAACACATGCGACATATATATATCTTGTTCAATGTTGTAACCTCAAAAAAGATGTATGTTTGTTCATAAAGTCACATAAAGCCATTTTACTTGAAGAACTTATTGTTTAGATCTTCATTAAGTCACATAAAGTGTCTACTCATGTAAACAGCCATGATGTACCTAGTTCGTCATCATCAAATCCACCGTAAACTACTATGAATAGTATACCACGACAAATCCCTCGATCCCATACCTTTTTTCAATGAGTCATTCTTGACATATGATTGGGCCTAGCTGTCAAATATGGTATCACTAATATTGAGGATTACGAGATTTATGGTTCAAACCATGGTAATCGGTTTCATCCAATTATGCAGAAAAGTTTTCAATTTCATCCAAACTAGTACATCCTGAATAAATTAAATGATATAAAAAATTGAGATGGATGTAGCAAGAAATGTAAACAAGGATACACCATTATAAAATTGACAAAATAAGAAATCAACAAGCAATTGTGATATTGAGAATAAAGATATGCACAACACGACGATAAAGTGGTACATCAATATGTGAATTCAAGAAGCAGTCTAAATAGTGGTTGAGTTTTGCCGATCACTTTTCAATACTCCTAAAGGCTAAAGCCTTCCAAACAGCGCTAGAGGCATCAAAAACATTGATGAGAAACACAGCCCATATCAGAGCAATCTTCAACAACTACCATGGCCTTAACACTTCTCCCATTTCCATATATATAAACATTGTTAAAGCATCGCCTTTTGTTTTTTATCCATCTGGTGGATTGTGCCACCAAAGGCGCGCCATCAGAATGGTAAAGATCATCACTCTCCAATGGCCCTCCGCCATCTCCACCTTTATCGAAGCTATCGAGTGTCAAAAATGCCCTTGTACGACCTTTTACTTGAGGTGAACATTCAAGTAGGGAAAGGTTTATCTTTTCCACAGGAATCAGAGTCATTTTCTTTGTTGCATTGTCCTGGATACTGCCGCCACCCCTGCAAGGTTGGGCTTCAACATGTGAAGAAGAAAATACATAAAATTCATTTTTTTAAATATTTTCTCAATGACCTATAGTTTTTTAGGGAGGCGTTATTTTCATCTAACATTCTTATATTTATCCATTTTTTAAAAAGGATAATTATATTATCACCACAAAATTTACACTACATTATAAATACACACTAATTAAAACATATTTTAAATAAATACACCGTAGCTATTTTACAAATACACCCGAGCCCAATTAAAAGATAAAGAAGGATAAGTACAGTACACATATATATACCTCTTCCTAATTCGATAGCCCCTCTCCGTTCCTCTCACTTCCTAAAATGGGCTTCAACGTCTCCTAAATTCTTACCATTAAATACTTGAAGCTATCCCTTTTATTGAACCTCGTGTTCTTCATCCTTTTTCTGCGCTTTTCTGAGCCCAAAAATCTACTTCCACTTTCCAACAAATGTTTCCTACCCAAAACCCCTCTGTGAATGACATCTTCAATGGAGTGCACACAAAATTCCACTTCTAAATGCCCAAATGGCATTCACAAACCAAGTTTTCTTGATAAAAAACCCTCTAAATCCCAAACCCACATGTTTTTTAATTAATTATTTTCAAGTTTCAGGTCAACCATACTAAGTTTTAAACCACAAATCTATATCGCTAGAGCAATTCCCCTTGTACTCACACTTGTATGGTTGCTTTTTTTCTTTGTTTTTATCATGCTTTTTTTCGGTAATTTGACATTCAACCCGCAATAAGCAATCTTGACATGCCACATGAGTAGGGGAGTTCACAAGGCCCATGACTCACTCCCCCACTCAATCTGCTAACACTTTCGTAGCGGAACGTGTGCCTCGCATTTTCATGCAATTTTCGTATTGCATTCTCTTTTACGTCAGTGGGTATGAAAAATTGTCCAAAATTGCGGCACCATTTCCCTGGTGTTCACGGTGCCCCTTACACCTCTTCCCGTATTAAGCTGTAGATGTCGCCTTCGACACCAACTTTCGCTCTTTCCACCTCTACATTGGTTCCTCGGATGGACGACTCCTCTGGCCACAACGTCACCATGCATGTCGAAGCATTCAATACAAATGACCCTACATTTAATTTCTTTTGCAACGCCTTGTTAAGCTCCACGAAACAAACATTTGTGTAGTACGCAAAACTACTTAACTCATGCCCCTACTTCCGTCATCCTTAAAGCTTTCCATTCTTAATTCAGCTTGCTTGCCGACCGCTTTGCCACACGTCTCGTGGTTTTCTCCCATCTTTGGCAATCCCAAAATTATTTCCGTAGGAATGCCCGCCATTAGTCTTAGGTAAACCAACAACACAACGTTCGAAGCGGATCTGTTTTTATACCAATTGTAATGGACCGCCCTTCGGCCCCCGAGTTCCCGATACTCCCCGGGGTAGTCTCCCCCACACATGGACCGACAAGCTAAGATGTATAAGTTCAATAAACTAGAGATGGGATAACACCTAGCATCACTCATATCGCTAACACTCGCGAATCCATGATTTTCCAATGAGTAATGCTATTTTGCACCATTTGTGTTATAACAACCATCTAGGCGTCTTTAAGTATCATTAAATGAAATGTACAATTAAATTAATCATATAATCTCACATTTAATTGAACCCATCACATAATGTCATACAAACTAGTGATATATAACATTATTATTTTCCGTATGTTTCTGGATATATGAAAAGCTAGGATTTTTATCAACATCAAATAATCCATCTTCACCAATTTAACATTTATACTCCTTCCCAATATTCAAAAACAAAAATGATTTTACCATCAGCCCAATCTCAAAACGGCAGAAAAAATAATTATTGCCTTGCCTTGCCTTTATGAATTTCAATCAGCTCAATCTCAAAATGAAGTTCCTCATCCTTTGGAAAGCAATCAGCAACTGTGACAAGATAATTTTCCTCACTACAATGTAGATCGAATTTAGTCTTGAACGAAAATCGGAGAGGAAAATAAAATGGTGGGATATGTTATTTTTGTAACTTTTGTTTTATTGCCGATTGAGTTTTTGAATGAATATTAATTTTTTATATTCTTATTAATCTATTTAATGATGAAAGTTTCTTTTTGTAGTTAATAATATTAACTAAAAACAGTTAGTAATCTGCAATTATTTTTTTATGTTAATAATTACCGATAGAATTTCTCATGAGAAAAACAAAGACAATATATATAATTTTTTAAAAATTGGGGCCTTCGATAAATCTGTGCCTTAAGAACGCCTAACTCGCCGATGCTTGAGTTGGCTCAGTAACATCTCCACCCTTCTTAAAATTGTTAAAAGTCAAACCCCCTTAGAGCATTGACAAGTGCATATTGTGCATTTATTTAGGTCATGTTTTAGCCTCCTTTTTTGAGTAAATATTTAGTTCTTGTGGAAACGATACTTTTCTCATTCTTTATTTCTTGGCTACGATACTGTACAATTACGAAATTTCCTCCATCATGCATGCACTTGAGATTTACTTGCTTTACAAGATCCCCAGTGGTGACTTCTTGTAACTCTAACTCTTAAGGAATGAGCATCAAAGGGTAATAACAGATGACGTGCTTCCATATATACAATATAGTTCTCAATGAACAAAACCTGTTATGAATTATGTTATGTGAAAAGTGATAGGGTCAGTCATATATTCCAATGGATAGTTCAACGGGCTGGGACACTAATCTACTCTATCAACTATTTTATCATTAATTATTTGTTTGTGCCGTGGCTTATAAACTTTTAAACATCAGTGACAGAGACTGATATCTTAACTAAGCCCTTGATTGATGGCCACTATTTGGAAAAAAACAATATTTTGAATATTAATTTTTAGGAGAATGTGTGGTTAAAAAGTTAAAAAAAGCTTTGAGTTTACGTTCAAAATATTTTATTGCGTGAATGTGTGGTTGATAAATGATATTCAAGTTATCTTAAGGTTTCTTTTCTTATGGTTTTCTTACATCTTTCTGATAACTTAAGCTTTCAGATGATATAATTTAACATGTTTAAGTCTCACCGTTACTATGAGCTACATGTGAAATAGTACATTGAAAATAAAATATAAATAAATAAATTCATCTCGTTTTTAATAGCTCGAGCTTTTGCGTGAATATTCTGACAATCGCAGCCATAGTTTACAGTCAATGTTCTACTTGAACCCTCCTATGAACCTTATGACTAACCGTAAAATTATTTATGAATACTAATCTAAAGGATTTCTATTACCTTGAGCACAATCTTGGCATTTTCTGTGGCCAAACAATATTTAAACCGATTCATTGATCAGAAGTTGCACCAGAACCAATTATCTCATCACTATTAGAGAGAAAAAATGAAGAAATTTAGCTCAGGAGCTCTTCTTTTTGTGGTACTCTTTCTCGTAACTCATTTCTCGGAGGCTAGACTTCAAGTGTGCAAGCCAAGTGGCAAAATAATTGGAAAAAAGCCTCCTCCTGGACAATGCAACCAGGAAAACCAATCTGACTGCTGTAAACAGGGGAAGTCTTACACCACCTACAAGTGTTCACCGCCAGTGTCTGGCAGCACTAATGCAGTTCTCACAATTAACAGCTTCGAGAATGGTGGAGATGGCGGTGCGCCATCAGAATGTGATAACAAGTACCATTCCGACAACACACCAGTTGTTGCCCTATCAACTGGATGGTACAATGGAGGATCAAGATGCCTTAACAATATCACAATAACTGCTAATGGCCGAAGTGTTACTGCTATGGTGGTTGATGAGTGCGATTCTACCATGGGATGTGATGACGACCATGATTATCAACCTCCATGTGATAATAACATTGTCGATGCCTCTAAAGCTGTATGGAAAGCCTTAGGAGTATCTGGTAATGTGGGCGAGTTGGATATCACTTGGTCCGATGCCTAGAACTATATCGTAAAATTTAGTTATCTATCTATTGTCAAGATCAGTGTTTTATGATTTGGTTTGTATTGTGGATTTCTTAGTGCATGCATGATGAAAATATATCTTTGTATAATGAATTCTGTCTTGTTTTGTCGATAAAGCGCTAAAGTAAATATTTATATGATTAAAAATTTAGTTAGGCAAAATTCAAGGATAGATTTCCAAAAACTTCCTATTACTTCCTGTAAGTAGATAAGCTTACCGTGATCAATCTTGACAAGATAATCTATGTTGTTCTTACAACACCATCCGAACTCGAACTAGTTGAGATGTGTATTAAATGATAGAGAAGAACTTTTGGTGTACAAAGATAGTACACATAGAATTCAATGCTATCTCAACAATATTCATATCATATCACGATATTTGGTTCTCGTAAATGCCTGATATTTTGCTGAAGCTGATATTAGCAAGTTCTGGATCAAAATTAATCAACTGAAATGTTGAGAAAATGTCTACTAATATCATGTCTGACGTAATCAACTGAAATGTTGAGAAAATTAAAACCGGCGCTTCCCCCCTTTCATTCAAGCCACTCAGCGGAATCCGATTACCAACATCCCTCATGTTGCCAGCACGGGTAAGAGGTATTCTTGGTGATAAGATTAGAAGACTAGTCCTCGATTCCTCTATCATGTTGAAAATGTCTGTTGTAATATATGACTCATGTAGAGTGAAACACATGTATATTGGAATAAACAATACTTTTTGGGTTTTTCCTAAAATCTTGTACGGGCTAGAGTTAGTATATAAATATGATGTAACTCTATTATTCACATATAATAAAATCATACCCGTTTTGTTCCCGTAGACGTAGGCTTATTGTCGAACTATGTAAATATTGTGTTGTTCTTCTTTCTTGATTCCATATTGTTCATTTTTATTATTGCACAAAACACACCAATGTCTAACCAAATAATGGGAAAATGAAACAGTATTAGCATGCTGAAAATATGCAAATCTATTGTATGACTGGTGATGGTTGGATTAATTCATTCAGGTCAAAATCAGTGGGTTGTCGTGGAATATACGTTATCAGATATGAGATCCTTACATTTTCACATATGACACCACAGCACAAAGACAGTCAATAGAGCATTGATTATAAGATTAATGCCTGTCCTAAGTATCTTTAGGCGGCACCAGATGAATTAAATGATTGATTTTTTGAATGATGTCGAATTTAGTAGGACCAGAAATTATAATATAAGTTCTCCTAAGATATTCTCAGTCATTGGAATCAACAATGATCAAATCTTGTGGTTATTAGTAAATTATATTCACATTCATCACTGAATACAAAACCACTGTCATCGAGTGAAAAGACCATTCTTTATATATAGGTGGACTCTAGGCAATAAGAAAAGTTTCAAGTTATAAATTAGTAAACCAGTTGAATTATTATATTCTTTAGCATATTTTAATTTGTACGTGTTCACAATAATTTACAGAATCATTGTTGAAAAATGCGATAGACTACACTAGGCATTGGACCATGTTACATGCAACCAACCCCAGTCATTTTCAGGCACCCCCAATGCTTTCCATACTGCTTTTGAAGCATCAACAATGTTATTAGCACATGGAGGTTGATAATCATGGTCCGCATCACATCCCTTACTAGAATCACATTCATCCACAACCATGGCACTTGTGCTTCGGCCATTAGCACTTATGGTAATGTTGTTAAGGCACCTTCCCCCTCCACTGTACCATCCAGTCGATAGCGCGACAACAAGTTTATCATCAGAGTGGTACTTCTTGTCACATTCTGATGGCCCGCCACCATCTCCACCCTTCTCAAAGCTATTAAGGGTTAGAACTGCATTGGTGCTTCCAGACACTGGAGGCGAACATGTGTACTTGTCATAGAGCTTGCCTTCTTTACAACAGTCGGAGTCATTTTCCTGGTTGCATTTACCTGGAGGTGGCTTTTTGCCCCTAATTTTGCCACTTGGCTTGCACACCTGAAGTCTAGCCCCTGAGGCATGAGCAGCAAAAAGTAATAAAAGAAGATATGCTCCTATACTAACTGTGTACTTCATGTTCTCTCTGTATTTCTCTACACTTGCTTTTGAAATGCTGGATAATGGGTGCAATGCAGGGAGAAATAATAGGTATATATAAATTTTCCCAGTTGGAAATGCCAATATAGTTCTCAATAGACAAAACCTTTTATGCAATGTTTGTTGAAAGTGATGGGGGCATCAGTCAGATATTCCAGTTGTGTGTTCAACAGATTATGCCAGTAATTTACTCCAACCCTTTTAACTTATTTAAATATTAATTAATTAACTGTGCCGTGGCTGATAAGCTTATGTGTTGGCTAAATGAAAATCCACATTATGCACACAGACAATGGCCAACTCTGTAATGCTTTATGTGTTGTATTTGTGTCTCTAGCAAAATTAGTCAAATGATACCTAGTAATTGACATACATCTAATGTCTTTTATATGTCTCAAAGGAAAATGAAATAGTTTAAAACATTTTCCTGAAATAATACATCTTTGATAATAAGCATGCGACATTAAATGTTAATGGTACCTTAAAATATGAGAAAAAAAAAGGGACATTTAAACCTAGTTTCAAAGTAAGCAATGATCATTTGTTTTAAGTGTCTCTGCCACAAGTTATGACATTTGATTAAAAAAATAAATCAGGGCAACACTTGGGAGACAGTTGAAAATAGAATATAATAAGTGCATGGTAATGCCGTAAAGTGCTTATAAAATGTGGTTTTATGAAATGTGTGGAAAATAAGTGAGTAGTAAGTTGTGGATGTTACGAATTGTGTGGATTAGAAGCATGTTCGACTAGCTTAAAAAAATTTAAGCTATGCCAAACATGCACTTATTAACTATATTTGTCTTCTCTCTAATAGCTTAAACTTTTAGTTAAGGTGATTTAACTCGCATTTCTAGAGAATTATCGCCATTCCACTGGAGATGCTTGAACATTCTGATAATCACAGAAATAATTTACAATCGTAGTTCAATTTGAACCCTCCTATGGACCATGTTATTACCCTTAAAAGTATGCATGATTACTAGTCTGTTGAACAAATACAAAAAGATTTTTTCAAACCTTGAGCAAAATCTTGGCATTTTCTGTGCCTGAACTTAAATATAAACCAATTAGTTGATCATGATTTTCACCAAAAAAAATTATTTCAATAGTAGGCTTTGCGTAATAGAGAGAAAAGATGAAGAACTTCAGCATAGGAGCACTTCTCTTTGTACTACTCTTTCTTTCTACTCATTATTCGGAGGCTAGACTTCAAGCGTGCAAGCCAAGTGGCGACATAATTGGAAAAAAGCCTCCTCCTGGACAATGTAACCAGGAAAATGATTCCGACTGCTGTAAACAGGGGAAGTCTTACCCCACCTACAAATGTTCACCTCCGGTGTCAGGAAGCACTAAGGCAGTTCTTACCATTAATAGTTTTGAAAAGGGTGGAGATGGAGGTGCGCCATCAGAATGTGACAACAAGTACCACTCTGATAACACACCAGTTGTAGCTCTATCAACTGGATGGTATAGTGGAGGGTCAAGGTGCCTTAACAATATCACAATAAGTGCTAATGGCCGAAGCGTAACTGCTATGGTTGTTGATGAATGTGATTCTACCATGGGATGTGATGATGACCATGATTATCAACCTCCATGTCCTAATAACATTGTTGATGCCTCCAAGGCTGTCTGGAAAGCCTTGGGAGTGCCGGAAGATAACTGGGGCGAGTTGGATATCACTTGGTCTGATGCCTAATGTAATTTATCATCTGTTTTGCTTATGACTCTACAGAATGACGATATTATATGAGTGTGTCAAAAAAATTGTATTGTTCTATTCCAGTTTCTGGTTCTGTATACATTTACATAACAAAATTATTATAAGATGAAAGATGAAACCTTTTTTTTTTTCACAAAAAGTCTTCCTCAGAAAGATACAGCACTTTCTTCGACTTAAATTTGGATATGCATAATGTCTTTTTTCGAGATTTTAAGTGTGATTAGGGCAGTAATGTTGAGCAAGCAGCTTGGCACATCTGTTTATCCAAATGCAGGCCAACCCCAAGATTAATTTTGGAAAAGAAAAAAAACAGTCACTATAGTTATCCCTTACAGCTCTAAATACATGGANTAGTTATCCCTTACAGCTCTAAATACATGGAAACCAACCTCTTCCTGGAAAAGGAAACAAACAGGATAATGACTCAAACTGTTGTGTTTAAGGCAACATCACGCCTCTTACTATAGTTATTCTTCCATTGCCTCTCAATATAAATATAAATCAATGCCCATATTATGTGTACTGTTTATGACAAGATGCAAAGGGAAAGGAAATAGTGGCAAGAAAAGGAAAACAAATTTATTGAAGAAGAGAACTAAAATCAGATCTTGCACAGTAAACCAAGTGAGGTATTTATAGACTAAAGCTAACTAACTCAACTAAGAGAAAATGACAAAAAGGTCCTCCAACAAATATATAGTTATCCCTTACAGCTCTAAATATATGGAAACCAACCTCTTCCTGGAAAAGGAAACAAACAGGATGATGACTCAAACTGTTGTGTTTAAGGCAACATCACGCCTCTTACTATTGTTATTCTTCCATTGCCTCTCAATATAAATACAAATCAATGCCCATATTATATAAATATTAAAAAAATGGATGGAAGATCAGAGAACAAAAAAGATTTTAGGGATGACTGGTCTCTGAAATTTGTGGATCAATCATTAATGGGGCAACAATAATACCGAAAAGGTAACATCTTTTTTTTTTTTTCCAGAATCGACTTTCAAAACTTCAGTAAATTTCAAGAATAATCTGATAATTACTCGTGATGTTCTCTTCAGTATTCATTCCATTCACAAAAATATTGTGTTAATTACGTTAAACGAGAATCCTTTTTGATTGGGTCGCGTAGCAAGAAGAGCATCAGATCAACCAGGAACAATAAAAAACTCAAACCTATTTTGAAAGTTAACCTAATATCTCATAAGACGTTGGTGTTGGTTCTCCACCAATTCGATCTTAATAGAGTTGGGTTTAAAAAATAAATTATAAACCCAACAAAATGTATATTCCAGGCTGCAAATTTGATTTATCATGAAACGTAACTTGGTTGTATTTTCAGAAAAATTGAACTCCATAGTTGCTAGGCCTAGGCTTATAGGGAAAAAATTGTCAGAAATTTACTAAGAAATTTCTACGAAGTACAGAAACACGTTGCCGTTAGCGAAGTATTTAACATCCATGAGGATCTAAGATGGATTTTCGTGTATGATTATTTTATTGATGAAAACGAAAAGATAAGAGGTTTGAGAGTATGTAAAGGTTTAGGTTGAAGTCCTTCCGAAAGTTTTGCCTGTGTAAAGCTTTTGATATATAATGAATTCAACTTGCACGTAATGGGGCATGCTGAAGAGTTTATTTAAGTAAATACACATGATGAGGTAGTTCAACGTTATCATCGACACCGGCTTAAGATCTCAATGAGTTTTAGGATGATATGAACTCTTACGCTCCTAGTTTCGATTGATTGTTTGTTGCTTTGTGCTAGTGTTATCATCTTACAGCTTCAGAAAGGTAGAAGTTGTGCTTTTTAATTTTAATCTGGTGTATTAAGAACATATCAGAAAGAATTGTAGCAGTTATAGCTAAACTGTACAGATTTATTCCTGTTGCATTCAGCACTTGGAAACAGTGAAAGGAAAAAATGAAATGAAGAGAAAGACGAGAGAAGATTAGAGCTTGAAAATACATTCAAACAGTTGGCTTAAGAATCAGACCAAGTAATATCCAACTCGCCCCAGTCATTCATTGGCACCCCCAAGGCTTTCCATACAGCTCTTGAGGCATCAACAATGTTATTCGCAAATGGAGGCTGATAATCATGGTCTTCATCACAGCCCGTGGTGGAATCACGCTCATCAACAACCATAGCTTGTACCATTTGGCCATTAGCACTTATGGTAATGTTCTGGAAGCACCTCCTCCCTCCATTGTACCAGCCAGATGATAGTGCGATAACTGGTGTATCATCAGAGTGGTACCTCTTGTCGCATTTTGATGGCACGCCACCATCTCCACCCTTCTCGAAACTGTTTAGGGTTAGAACTGCCTTGGTGGTTCCAGACACAGGAGGTGAACATTTGTAGGTGGAGTAGAGCTTCCCTGGAATACAGCAGAAGGAGTCATTATCCTCAACACATTTCCCAGGAGGCGGCTTTTTGCCCTTTACTTTTCCACTTGGTTTGCAAACTTGAAACCTTGCATCTAAAGAATGAGGGGCAAGAGAGACTAGTACAATAAGAAATGCTCCTAAGCTTAGTTTCTTCATGATTTTACTTTGTTTCTCTGTGCACAGGTATTGAAAGCAGGATCAAGTACTTGGGTTTTATAATAGTTTGGACCAAAAAAATGCCAAGATTGTGCTCAAGGTTGAAAATATAGCTAAGATTAGTATTCATTTAAGATTATTAATTAGGTTTAAATCAAATGATCCAAGGATGTTTCAAGTATCAGAGGATTGAAAATGACCCCATAGTACCTTTACTTGTAAGGCCCGCTATCTTGTCCTGTATTTCGCCTTGTTTGAATTTTATTGCTGAAAACTTTTAGGGTGTTGTTTGTTATGTAATGCTTGGATAGTATTGTATAAAAATATTAACTTGATTTTCTTTTTTAATCATGTCTAGTTCTATCAAGTCCAGTATACAAGAATTCTATTAATTTGATATTATGTGCTTGTTTGTTAATGCTTATAAGTTATAAGTAGCGGATCCCGCAGAATGTGTAGATGAAAAGTAGGTGGTAAGTTGTGAATTCTATGAAATTTGTGGATAAAAAAGAATGTTTTGACAATCTTAAATTATAATTTAACATTTGCAAAACATGCACTTATGTTAAACTGTCTCTCCTCAAAGCTTCATGTTTTCTCTTGAACATTGTGAATTGCGCTTATTATTAAGATAAGAAAACAAGACAAAAAGGAACCTATCAGCAACAACACAATCTTTTAAGTAATATTGAAAGAGTTAATTTCACCAATCATTGCTCAAGTTTGTGAGAAATTTCAAATTGTTTTCTCATCTATCAGTAACTAAAATTATTAACAATTTCATAAATGGTCGCTCGGTTTCACAAACCATCACTCTTATTATATGTTAGGTTCTGGTGAAGTAGAAAACATACAAATAATAAAGAACAAATTCAAAAT